GCCTCCGGGGCGCGGGGCCGCCCTCAGCCCTGCTTGTGGTAGACGGAAGTCTTGGTATGTGTTAGTTCTTGGTAGGCATGCATCCAGCTTTTCTTTCTCTCTTTAAATCAAGAAATGGAAGCATGCTGAGGTGCCAGCGTGTCGCTTGAGTGACAACAGGCAAATTGGCGTTAAAGATGTCGTGACTGTTCTGCATTAGTTTCCATTTTTCACGTCTAATTTTGGGATACTGGGCTGTGGCACTGTAACGTGACTTTGTCTGATAACAAAGGCTTTTGGTCAGAAGAGAGGCAAGGCTGTGGCGATGCCGGGGATGTATTTGGGTAGGGACGTGCTGAATATGTGCTAGAGTGCTGAATGTGCCTCAGCCCACTTCTTTGTGTCGGTTGCCTCTAGGATTATGTGGATCTAGTCTGTGTTGGAGATCATCATGGATGCTGAATTTCCAAAATAATATTGTGCCCCTCTTCAGTATAGGGCTAAAGAATCAGTTTTCAGCTTGATTAAGAGGAGTTGTGGGAAGCCTGGCCTGTGTGGAGATGTTGTTGTCTGAAAATGATGTGACTTAGGCAACTTTCAGCCTTTGCGAAGGATTAAGTTCCATTTTGCATTTGATAAGTGAAAGTTGTTACTGCTTCTGAAGATAAGCTGCTAGTACTGCTGATTTTTGAAAGGATGTGTGGAAGATTTCATGTGAAGTATGAGAAGCTGCAGCAGTTGCTTTGGTTGGTTGTTACCTTGAATTTCCGATGCGTGGAGCTGAGTCACCTTTGGTGGTGGTAGCTGGAGAGGGAGAATGTTTTGAAATGATGCACAAGGAAATCTGATAATCAAAACCAAAATTAGGAGATTTTGCATCCTAGGAAGCTGAAACAATTGTAGAATGTAGTAGTTCCCATGTAAGTGACAAACTTGTAAAACACATCATCAGTTTCAGAGGATAAATACAAACTTTTCTCATCATAAACACACATAGTGATTGCATAGGCCCTTTTGTTTCAGAGAAAGTGTAGTTACCCAGGGCCTGAAAGGAGCTTGGAAACAGTACTGTTAACATCAACTGCAAGAGCAGGAGGGAAGTCTGCCTGAAACTCGTGGCTCCTGTGAACACCCTGAAGTCTCAGGGGAAGCTAGAGTTGGAACCACATCTGAAACTTGAGGGTTTAGATTCACCTCTGCCTAGAGAGCTGGCAGAAAATGCATGAAGCAGTGTGTTCTGTGGTGTTGCTTCATAAAATTGTGAGTGTATTGGATATCAGCAAACACATACTCAAATGGTTAATTGATGTTGCCTCTACAAAGCTTTATTCTACTAAAGCATATTCTATTTATGTGACTACATGTGTTTTAAAGAGTAATAATTATATGAAGAAGCTAATATGGATTATGCATCTTTTACGATTTAGTTAGATATAAGGAAAATCAGTCCTAATACTGTTACATGGTAAATAGACGAGATGCCATCCAGCAAAAATAATATAATTTTGCTGTAGAGTAGGTGGCACTTAACTTGAATTCAATTATTTGATTGCATTAAACCATTAAGTTAATGGAATGAAGTATGTTATGGTTTTGGACTCATGTACATTTTTAAATTTAACATAACATCTGGAAGTTGAGAGGAGAACATAAGTGAACTTTATAAAGGGAATGTCAGTGAACTGGACTGAAAAGGTACATATTGCAGCATAAAGTTGGAAATGCTCAGATATTTGAGCATCATAACTTCTACACCAATGATCTTGCTTACATGTTTATAGAATAAGGTCTTAGCTTTCCAGCCTCATGTTGGTGTAATTTGTTAAAGTACTTGTAGGTGTATGTTCAACACCACGTAGGACTTGTGCAGTTTGCTTGCAAGATACATGAAGTACTCAATCTTAACTGACTGTTAAAATTCTTTTACAGGGTCTGAGAAGTCCTCAGGAGAGTGTTCATGACCTCAGTCCTATTGAAACCTTTCGGATTCCTTGTAAGGTATGATACACAGTCCCTCCACTCCCACCCCCTTAATTTTTAGTTTTTCATTTTCTAGTTAGGTGACACTTAGCTGTTTATTTCTTTTTTATTTATTTTTTTTACAACAGGTTTGTCCTTGGTTTTTTTGACAGTTTTATTTCTTGCTAAAAATCTTTTAAAAAAGAACTAAGAGCTGTGGGGCAAAACAGTTCACTGACTCAGAATGAACTTGCATTAAAACTTCTTTCATGGAACTTTAGGGTTGCCACTGGATGCTGATCTTAATATTTTCTAGGTTTCCTGCTGGAATGAAGATTTAAAAATAAGGAAAAAGAAAAATGCCTTTTTTTTCCTTTTTTTACTTTGCAAAGTAGGCACTATATGAGCAGCCTGTATAGTTCTAGTCCTGATATTTAGACTCTTCATGGTTTTGGTGCTGTAAGTATATTTTGTAGTTTTGTGGTTTTAATCTTAAGCATACATAATTAACTTCATGTTCTACTTTAAATGTTACCGCTTTAGTATAATAATATTTTTTGGCTTTTTTTGGGTCTCACTATTTAAATGATGCCAGCTCACTCTTGTCTCACAAATCATGCTGAATAACTTGGGTGTGAGGGAACAGTTGTCACAATATTTGACTGCTCCTTATACCCTGTTGATCTGAGTAGATGATTCACAAGACTTACTCTGGATGTTGTTTATTATTTTCTCCTAATTTGGGCTTTGCGTTTAACCAATGAGATATTTAAATTACTCACTTGAATTTGGATGCCTTAAAAAAACCAAAGCCTCTTGTGTTTCTTTGTCCCTATATAAATACTGTGTAATATGTTGCTTGTGCTGAGGCAGACCAGAAAATCAGCGTTACTGTATGTTTAAAAAATCAACTAACAGTTTCTGAATAGGTGCATAATACTTTGTTAAACAGTGGCCAACATACTGATTTCAAAGAGTGAAAGTATTCAGTTTTAGTGATGCTGAGAGAACTCTCATCTCCACAGCTGAGATTTCAAAATTGCAGATTCCTGCCACCCACTGAGCATCCAGTTTCAAACTTGTCTTTTTTGCCAAGTAAAAGGTATCCAGGTAAAAGTAGATGTAGGGTGTCTTGGCTGGATTTCCATTCTTTAATAGTTAGATGTTATGTGTCTGATAAGCCTATACCTTATATCAATAACAATAGGAAAACAAATACCTGTCAATAATTTGTAACTTTTTAATACATTTATGACAAATATTTGTAGCATGAAAATGTTATCCGCAACTGTTCTGCAAACAGAATCTCATCGTAATTATGAATTCTGTGCCTGAAAAGACAAGCTCGCATCAACATTATAACTTGTCACCTCACTAATTTTTTAAAGCTGATAAAATCAGAGTATTATCTTCTGTGCCACAGAGTAAGACTTTTGTAGTTTTCAGTCTTCTAATATGTGTTTTTTTCCTTCCAAAATATTTTAGGTGAGTAGTTCTCAAAATTCTGAGTTGCTTACATTAACTTTTTCCTTCTCAACAAGGTATATTAAGGGAAATTCTTATAAAGTTGCATGACTGTGATTAAATGAAAATATTAGATCATAAATATCCTGAGTAAAATTACTGTGTTTTGATCAGTTTAACTCCTGGCTATGATTCCAATCCATTTGTCACGGTATCTATACTTCCAGTCCTTTTCTTCTGGGGGAAGGATTTATATTGTCATGCCTCCTTAACTTTGCTAAAACCTGTATTGTAGGATTTTACTTTTCAAATGATGAGACATCAAATGAGCCTCTGTAATGTGTCTCCTGCCACTGTGAGCATGGATTCAGGTACCCTTTCTTGAAAACAGGAGTTTTCAGGGATGGGGATGGGAAGATATTGTCTGTGGCTGTGGTATGAGCAACTACCAAGGAAATTAGGTTTCCATACTGCACAGAAAGTCATTGGGCTTTTGAATACTGGTATTTGTTTTGAACGGAATCTATGTTCAATGCTATGGCAACGTACTGATGTCACAAATCAGAATTCGGTTATAATTATAGGGTCAAGCAGCTTTGGTGAATATAAGCTGATGCCCCTCAGTAATTATTTTATAATAATGGACAAGTTTGGTAGTGAGAATTCACTTTTGAATGCAAAAGTAATGACTAAAGAAAAGATGCAGATTTTTAAGGGCAGCAAGTAAAAATGTAACTTCATACAGTTGCAGACTGCTATTTGAAAGCATACGTTGCTCTGTGCTGCCACATTTTAATAACTTTTTTTTTTAATACCTTGAATAACAGAAGTCTCCAGCTCGCAAACCAGATACTGTTTTGATGATAGAATGGTTATGATGCTGCACTTTCATCGTCACACTTCTGCATTCAAAGTGGTATCTCTGGATTGATTTAGGGCAAGTGTTACTGCAAGTTTCAAAAGCTGAGTTAAAGCTATGGAGGGGTGTACAGAGTGAAAGGCTGTGGAGCCAGCATGAACTACTGGAGAGCACGAGCCATTAATAGATAATGCTAACTCCAGGGACAAAACCATGTTTTTGAAATGGGGGACTGTCACACTAGTTTGGAGCCCAAATGGGAAATACGGAGCACAGGAAGAGAAGTATGTTGACATTGCATCCCCTGAGGAGAAAGCCAGCAAAATTTTTTGGGTCTTGATAACCTGAAGGTTGTTGGTTTGCTGACTGGTGGCTTGCTGGCAAGCTCGCTAAAGTGATGACTGTGCTCATCAACTTTTTATTTTTAAACAAATAAATTATTTGGTACCTGGCTATTTTACAGAATACCTCTGAGTGTATGCACTTGCGTTAACCACTACTCCAGTAAGTTCTGCAACTGTCTCAAAAAAATTCAGTTTGCTTTTGTCATATGAAGGCAAATCACTAGCAAACTTGTTTTACTTTCTGTTGTGATGCAGACTCATACTGCCAGCTTGGTCACACAAAATAGATATAACTGTATAATAGTTTGCATCTTGACATAGTCTGTAGATAGGGCAAATCTGAACTGCAAGGCAGGATTTCTAGAAGAGAAAGTTGTTTGCAGAGGGATTTCTTATATTTTTTGATTGAGATACCTTGCTTCATCTGTGCGCCTTGATCACCCTAGGGAACTGTAATTCTTTTCAGACAATTCTGTTACTGTCAGCTTTGTTGTTTCCCAAGCTGGTAACAGGTTTGGTTAGTAGATTCTGTCACAAAAGGGTGAGAGGTTATTTGTACGCTTGAAGTGTGTGGGGTTAATAATGAGTTGACTTTGAATTAGGTTATGTTTATCTTGATAATCAGCTCACATGCAATTTACAAATATTAGTTGGCTTTGTGGCTTATGGTGGTAAACGACACGGAAAGTTTATTTTTAATGCTTTTCCTATAGATATAAAAGTGATGCTTGCTTAGTCTGTGTGGGTTTCTATTTTCCCAACAGCAGCTGAGTGCTTTTCAGGAGTGCATTAAGCAGTGGTGTGACTAATATCTGTTCTATGGATCAGGCTTGGTTGTTTTCTCCATGAGGACAATTGTTTTCACTGTGTAATGTTTGTTTTGGTTGAGTGAGGGCTTTTTAATAAGTACTCTGTATACATACTGAAGAAGGAAAGACCAGAAGAAGGTTCTGGGCATTTCACGTGAAAGATAAGGGAATACCACAGATTTCCCCGTGGAATTGTCTTCCCTAGCTGTGGGTTAGCTGGGGGGAAAAAAAAAACCAACCAAAAAAAAAGAAAAAGAAGTTGTGAGGTGAGTTTATAGATACAGTTATACATAATATAAAAATATATATTTAGATAAAATTAAAAGGTTGTGTGTGTAGATATATTAAAAAGTGCCTTTATACATTAGTTATTTCATGGTGGTAGGATATTGCAATGTACCTGCTGATTGCATCTGTTGAGCAGAGCCCTCATCCTGGTGTTTACGATTAGCTTCTAACATAGGTGTCATCTAAGTTCAGAATGGAGTGAAATAAATTGACAGCATGTTTCTTGGTGTGGTTTTGGCTCATGATGAAGAGAGGGAGGCTGTATCCAGTTAAGTACTGCACAAACTTGGCCTCTGGTGCTCTCTGTGTAGAGGTGTGTAGGCTGTTGCTGAGCAGCAGCTTCTGATTAGATTGGAAACTTGTCAGATGTTCTTTTTCTCTCTGAGTAGTATCAGTTAACTCTTTTCAATGTCTTTGCTTCCCAAGTCTTTCAGTAGATAGTGACTGCAATGCAGAAGGTGTTTGCTTCAACTCTCTACCAGTAATGCTTCATTCAGCAGAGCAATGTTGGTTTTGCTGTTACAGGCAGTATAGCATACAGGGAGAGTGGGGGTGTGACGTGCTGGGAAATAGCTGGGTAAGTCAGCTAAAACTTGCTGAACTGCATTTCAGATGAGTCTGCAGTGAGATGACTCTTCTGAAATATAGTTCACAGGCTCCTAGACCTGTAAACTTCTGTTTCCATAGAACAGGAAAGCAAGACGATGTGTCTGGACACAAACACTAATTCATTCAGTTTAGTAATGGCGAAGCTTGATGCATAATTATCATCATATGATTCCCTCTGTCCCAATTTTTATAGATTTCTTTCCTATTCAGAATAACACTTGGAATTACTGAATTGATGTAAAATTCACTGTCAAGTATGTTTCAATGTTGACTTTTTAAAAGGCAGATATTTAAGTGGCAATAGTTAGAGAAGTATTGAGATGGAAAGGTGCCTTGAGGGATTTAATAGAGCTTCTCTCTCTACCTCTGCAAAGAGTGTGAGTACCAGCTCCGCATTGCTAAATCGGTCCTTCTCTGAGGCCCCTCAAACTATGGGCTTCGTATGTTTATAGTAAAGTTTTTTGGATCTCTAATTGAAGGGATGAGGAAAAATGAATATCAGCAAATAAACCTTAACCAAGGACGTTTGTTTCCTTCAGTGGTGACTGAATAGATTGGCCTTGAGCGTGTTAGTTATTTGAAACTAGTGGAGCATGATGCATTGGGAGTGGCAGTTTATCACGGCATAAAGTCTGCTGGCAGATAGTGTAATTTATATGGGAGCTTAAGTTTATCCTGGAGAGTTGTTCTCACTAGATTGTTTTTTCTAGAACAATGAACAAGATAAAGAAAAACCCTGTGCATTTAATACATATTTTCCTAGGTAGTGTTTTGGCAGGAAACACTGCGATGTACTATCTTTCTGAGACAGGATAAAATGGTTTCTTATTAATTTTCCTATTCATAACAATGTCAGCTTTATTTTTTTTCTGAAAGCTGTGGTCTTCTACAAAGACAAAAAGGTCATTGATTAGGTTGCATTGAAGTTCTGATATTAAAAACAACCCCCCCAATTTATTACCACATGGGTCTAAATCCAGAATATCTATCTAAGGTGGCTTTCTCAATACATCTTCAGGGGATGTCAATCACCATAGACCTATGGCCTTGACGTATCATTTTACCAGTATGACAAGATATCAATAGTCTAGAAATTCAAATGATCCTAAACTTTTCTTCTTGAGTTTAGTTTTTCTTCTTTTTTCCTGTAACAAACAGCCATGCAGGAAATTGTAGCCAAACATCAGATGACAAATTCGATTATTCCATTTGCAATGGTTTGGTAGACAAATTAAGCTGACCCTGTTGTGCCTCCCTTGGATATTTTTAAATTTTAGTTTCATATAGCTAGAACTCAGTGTACTGTAAGATGTTAAGCTAATTTATAGAGGGATGTACAACATGAAGCTGCCATTTGTTAGGGAGTCCAGAGGGAAGTTATTTTTTGTTTGATTGTTTTAAAGGCCAGGAATACACATGGTTAGATAATAGAGTCATTGCTTTATAAATTAAATTATGGCAAGAGTAGTATGCCATTCAATCTGAATGTGTGCATCCTCTGCGAATCCATGCACCCTCATGTGATGGAAACTTCAAAACCATAAATTAAAATGTTGAAAAAGACTATCACAGGGCTATTTTTCAAGAATCTTTCATTCTCATCTCATAACCTGCCTGTGTCTCTTGTTTCTCATGCCCATGGTAAAGCTGAAATGTGAGGTGGAAAAGTGTTGCTGCTGGGTGAATTGTGTGGCTGGAGCTGAAGGGACGGGTTTGCCTGCATGGAGTTCTGTCCATCTTTTCGGTGCTGGTGTGGTGCCGCAGGCTGTTTCCTGCCGGCTCCCTGCAAACTTGTGTGGGTACCATCAGCTGTCAGTACCACGTAGCTAACCCAGCCTCTGCCATATCTGAGCAAGGTGCTGGTGTGGCTTGTGGCATTGCAGACATGTGCTTGCTAAGAGTGGGACTGTGCTCAAAAGCCATTTTTAAGAGTTTATCTAAAGCATAGCATCATTTTGTGTTGTTACTGTTATTTACTGTTGTTATATTGTTATTTATGTGTATGAGTTCCTTATTTCTCTTATGTCTGTTGGCATGCTCCCTTTGTCCATGCCTTCCCTTGTGCACCCTCCTGTAGGTTTTTGCATTCACCCTGTGGTGCCAGTGCCAGGCAGGTTCCTCCATCTCGCAGCGACCGCATTAAGTGCTTTCAGACAGTCCCTCTGCGGAGGTCTGAGGGCCTCACGGGAGAGGAAGAAGGTGGCTCCTCGATGACTCTTCTCCTGGTTGCCCTTGGCCCTGTCTCGGCTCGAAGCCGCCTTCCAGCTGCGGCTTCGCCCGCGGTCCAGCGGGCGGCGCCCGAGCACCACGGGGGGGGCCAAGGCCGGGGCCGGGCCGGGCCACTGGGCAGAGCGGGGAGGTGGAGTCTCGGCCGCCCTCTCGTTTGGCTTCGATTCTGCCTGCTCGTAGTCCGGTTGAAGTCGGGTTTTCTCTGTATCCGAGCCATTGCTTTTGGCTAAACCCCCTTTTCATCTTTTTTCTTTTTCCTGCCATAGGTATTTTAGAGGAGCAGTGGCTCCTTCTGATGCCCTTACAAACTGTTCACTCGTCACCCCTTAGATGTCTCTAATTGCACAGAGAAACAGTGACTTACTTTGTATTTAAAATGTCGCTTTGGCTCGTAATATGTACGTGTTGACCTTATTTCAAGTCATGTTCAAAATAAGCAAGTTAGCGGTTGTTTAGTCAGTTAATCTAAAATCTGATGCCTCTAGCCCTTGAGTGCTTGGTGATGAAAATACCAGCACCTTGCCTCACTGCAACAGCTTGGCATTGTTGAGACTCTTGGGGTCTTATTGGGACACTTCAGTCTGCTGGATCACTTCACTGGGGTTAAATTCCAATATTGAGCAATTTGATCCGTTTAATCTTTTTTTTGTGGTGAAAGAATGTCCTGGCACTATTCCGTTTTGAGTCTCTGATAAAGGACTTTCATTCCTTCAATGGGAACAGCCTTCAGGAGAGTTGAAGTGTCCAGTATAGGAGGGAAAGA